TCTCATGAAGGGCCTTTCTCTTTTTTGCTGCCCCTCCAGTTTACCAAGCATAAGGTCTTTCTCAAGGACTGGTCCCTCCTGACAATGTGTCATATTAGGGAAGCGGAATTATTCATATTTCTACATACTAAAAATCTCTGTCTTTTACCAAATAGAATCCTAAAAGAGAGAAAACTACCCATTTATGTTTGGTATTTTAGTGCCTTTTGCTGGCATAATTTCAGGACTTGTATTGAGGGTTCTCTCCAACTTCTAGTCACCACATACTTTCTGTCTCTCTCTCTCTTTTTGGCTGGGTACAGTGTACTTTATTGATGGGGCATGACATGGTTTAGTTCTCTAAGTCCCTCTCCTTCAGGGAGTCTGGGTGGAAACTAGAAATGATGGGATATTCTCAGCGTGTTGGGGGATTGAGTTGGGGCAGACTCCCAGCAGCCGAGCGCCTCTCTCTCTTCCTGTAGTGTTGTCCGTGGTGTGTGTGGTCCACGGGGGCTCTTACTCCTTGGAGGCCATGTGGACTATAAGGTCCATCACTCTGTTGCTGTAGCCAAATTCACTGTCATACCAGGAAATAAGTTTGAAGAGTGTTTGTTGAGGGCAAGGCCAGCCCCAGCCTCAAAGGTGCAAGAGTGGTGGGTGCCACTGTTAAATTCACAGGGCACAAGCTGGTTCTCAGTGTAGCCGGGATGCATTCAGCATCGTGTCTCCGGGATGCGCCTGGGACTGCACGGGAACGGGAAGATGAGGCTGCTTGTCACGTGAGGAGGAGTAGAGAGTCCACATGCTTGTTCCATGCTCTCACAAGAGAGGCTGTGATGGCATCAGAGTTATCACTATGAGACAAGGTCTGTATGGAGGACTAGATGAGTTTTTCTGGGGCAAGTTTTTGGGAATAAGCTGTGTTGATAACCTTGTCTCTTGTGCTATAAGAAGCAGGAGTCTGGTTCATTCCGAAATATGGTCCTAAAACATGCATGGGGGTGTTTGTCCCTTTGATTCAACGGTTCATTAGTGTGAGTGGGAGGCAACAGGCAGCCAAACTTTTCTTGATGTCAGGACGTTTTAGAGCATCGTTTGGAGCTTTCTGTTTATTTTGGTTCCTATGAATTGTGAAAAACAGCGCCACTGACTTCTTGAGGTATCTTAGAGGCAACTCTGCTTCCGTTGTGCTCTGCCCTGCCCCAATCCCAAACACGTTCAGCTACTCTCCTGAAGAAAAAGAGACTCCTTCCCAGGCTCCAAATGAGAGAGGAGGAAATGCCAGTTAGCCTTTTAATTTCAGTTTTGTTTCCTGGAAAATAGCTGCCAGGGTCGGCACCAGATGCCTGTGACTCATTTGCTCCGCCTCAGTGTGACCGCTTTCCCATGTCTCATGAGTATTGAGTTGTCTAGAAGTGTCACCTAGTGTGTGTGGGCAAGCTCGGGGAGTGTCCCTGCAGAAAAAGCAGATCCCCGACCTACTATTTGTTCAGCTCATGAAAAGATGGAAGGGACGGTCATCACAGCGTAGAGCATGGCCACTGCTTTAGGTTTTCCACAGTCCAGGTCAGGCTCTATGATACTCAGCCCGACGGAATAATGTGCAGGGTTTGATGGATGGGAGTAGACCCCAAAGAGTAGGATCAAACTCTGGTTCATAATGGCTTTTAAAATGTAGATTGGGATCTTTTTTCCCATTTAGCTGTTCCAGTAAGAATTCTTGGATTTGTGGTCCATTTGATTGCTTCTTATCGCCCTGTGTGGTACAAAGCAAGGTTGGAAGTGGGAACCTACGTTGCGGCATTGTGGAAGGAAGGCCGGGTGCTCTGCTTTTGTGAAGATCACAGTAGTCAGGAGAACCTTACGGAGCGCAGTTCCATCCTGTACCACACAGGGCTCTCTTTGAATTAGAATGGACTTGACAGTGGTAGGTTTTTGGCGGTTTTCCTTTTTCCTTTGGGAGTCTGGAGAGTGCAAATGGTGCTGAGGAGCCACACAGAGCATGTTCAGACTGTGTCTGAAAGTAGGGAGAAGAAATGTGCATACCTTTGAAAGCAGTGGAAGGTTAGAGGAGGGGCTAGATCAGCCATTCTCAACCTGTGGGTCGTGACCCTTCCACTGGGGTCGCCTGATTCATAACAGTAGCAAAATTACAGTGATGAAGTAGCAATGAAAATAATTTATGGTTGGGGGTCACCACCACATGAGGAACTGCATTAAAGAGTCGCGGCATTAGGAAGGTTGAGAACCACTGGGCTAGATGGAAAGCCTTGTAAGCAGTATTGGGCCTGTGACCAGGTCACCAGCAGTTCCTTGCTGCTGCTGCTTATTGATAACCTAGAAATGCATTGAATTCTGGCCCTAAACATGTAAACAGTTGGGCAGTAGGTATCTTGGTGAAAAACCTGCCCGACGCATCTGTAGGCAGCAAGTTAGCCCAGCAGTGGCTTCTGTTTTCTTTCTGTCGCAGCTCGGCCTTTTGACTCTGCTTTTGTTTCGCACTTTTGCAGAGGTGGTGCAGTTCTATTCCTAGTGACCACACAGTTGCTATTCACAGTCTGTGCTGACTTTATTTCTAGTCTATTGAAGCAGAGGCCCAAGATGACCAGATTTGCCAGAGGTTACTTACTCTGAGACCAGGGACTCAGTTGACATTCTCATTGGTCATCTTACAGAATGTAGAAGCCAATGAATCAAATGGAAGGCCACGGACACAGTGTGTGTGCTGAAAATAGTGCTGTATCTAGGAGCTTATCATCCTGTGGTGCTGAATTATTGTTGAGTCTGCTCTAATACATGGTGCCCTAATGTATAATAGAACAAGATGTTACCTGATCACACAATTGATGGATGGATTGTTATAAGAGCTGTAAGAGCCTCCAGTAAAATGATTTATTAAAAAAAAATTACTTGATCCTGTGGAATTTGATAGTGACACGTCCAGGGACTTAAAATTCTTAGATAACAATTGGCAGCACAAATAATTGTAGCTGTTTTTTTTGGTCAACTTCAAGGGAGCCAGGAAGCCTCAGGCCTCTGCCAACTCCATTGCAATTTGTGGTTGAGCTAGCCAAACTGTGTGATTTTGCTGTCTATTTTTAAGGACTCACTAAAGAGGAAAGATGACAGAGTAATCGTATGTGGTTGGAGGAAACAAAAAAGACATCCCAGTGGAGACTTGGACTTGCTCTGGGTCTCCTTAGCTGTTCCTAACCAAGAGTCTGTGCCCTGGCCCCAGAAGACTTGCTGCTTCAGCTGCCTGTACAGCAAGCTGAACCCTGTTAGCAAGGGGCACAGGAGATTGGGAGTGTGCAGCAGTGTCTGGGCCCTGGGGAAATCCCACAATGCCTCTAGCCATATGATAGGAGGCCCTGAGCACTTTGAGGTACAGGCACTGCTGCAGTCCTAAGCCATGTCATGCTCATTCAGGGTTCTAGGGGATATTCTGGCAGATGGTCTACATCTCAGATTGTGTGCTGTTGATTGATTCACTGCCCTGCAAATGACAAAGAAAAGAAGCACATCTTTCCACGGTGCCTGTGTCTAGCTGAACTCCCATGGGGATGGAAAGGTGAAGTAGAGGTATTAACTCAAACACGAAGTAGAACTTTCATAGCCAGCAGCTATTCGGGCTGCATACAAAACACTTCTGGCCCTTCTTGCTTTGTGAACCCCCCCACCCCCAATCCCACCCTGGGGTGTTACTGGCATCTCCAAACCTGAGGAGGCCCTAATGGTGCAGTTAAATGTTGGGCTGCTAACCACAAGGTCAGTAGTTCAAACCCACCAGCTGTTCTGCAGAAGAAAGCTGAGGCCATGGTTCATCAGAAACCCTAGGGAGCAGGTCTACGCTCCTCTTAGAGTTACTATGTGTGGGAATTGACACTGGTAGTTGGTTTGGTGGATATACTGAGCAGCGTTGGGAGATACCATAGGAGCCCTGAAGGGAGGTCTTGGCTCTAAGAGTGGTTCTACAGCAGTTGTGGCCCCCCTTTTATTTCCAGCCCGTTTTCTTTATTGACGCAGTGCTGTCAGCCTGTCTCCTGTTGTGCTGAGAGGACCCTTTGGGAGTGTTGTTACTGCTGCTGCTGTTGCTGTTGTTACTGAAGGGGGTTGTTACTGAAGCAGTGTTGTTACTGCTGCTGTTGCTGTTGTTCCTGAAGGGGGAGTGGTGTTACTGCTGCTGTTGCTGTTGTTCCTGAAGGGGGAGTGGTGTTACTGCTGCTCTCAGCTAGGCTGGGGCTGGAATTGAGGTACCAGGCTGAAATCGCCATTGTCGATGTGGCAAGTTTTGGCATCTTTCCTGCTTCCATCACTCTTGCCATTGTCAGAGACCACTGGAAAGTGGTCAGTGATGACATTGACAAGCCTTTACAGCAGGAAGGTACAAGCACAATGAAATAACCTCAGGTTTTCTAACAGACCAGCATGCTGACCCTGTGGGGCCAGGGTGGTGAATACAGTAAAGCGAACAAAAAACCGCAGCAGGAGACGACCCTGGTGTGGTCAGGATTGAAACCACCATCTGCTTTGCTCCTGTCACTGCGCATCTTCTTGTATGTGACTAGACTTCTTGGCAGAGTGATAATATTCTTTTAACGTATATGTTTTTAATTAATTACTTTTTATTGTGTAAACATATATGCAGTAAAACATTTGATGTTTCAACATTCATCTACTCAGGTTAGTGGCATGGATTATGCTCATCCAAGTGTTCAACCATCACTTCTATGTACTCCCAAGTCATATCAGTGAACACTATGGACTGCCTTATGAATTTGCATGTCATCTTTGCACCGGGGTCATGCTCATCTCTTTGTCATTCCAGTTTTAGTATGGGTGTACCACATGCATGAGGGAGTTTACATTGTTTTGATGAAATGGGCTATGCAACTACATGTAGTAAGTTTTTTTTTGTTTATGTCACAGATAACATAATGTTGTAATATGCTAGGTGGGGCATAATAGAAATGAATAAAATTAAAATTTTAAAAAGACATAGAAGTGTTATAGCTTTAAAAATCTTCCAGGTTTCTTACCCATCAGATCTGAATACTGATCTGAGTGGTTATAAAAGGATGGAAAGTAAAATTGAAGTTGACATTAGCTTCATTCTTTTGTGACACAAAAGCTAGTTTCACACAAACAGAACAAAATTTACACAAAAAAGGTTTTTGGCTGTTTTTCTTTTCTTTCAGAGATTTATAGATGTCATCCAGAGGATATGAATTTGGGGGCATGGGGAGCCAGCTTGGGGAGCCCAAGGCTCCAGTCCCACTTTGTGTTTTGCCATGCCTCCCATGCAGTGCACTTTTCCTGCCCGGCCTGCCTCTTTGCCAGGCTGCCCTCGCGGCCTGCGCGCACAGAAGGAAGGACACCGCTAGCTGCTGGATGGACTGTGTGCTTCAGTCACTGCTCCCCAGGGATTGTGGGACCAAGAGGGTGTTCACTTTTCTCTCGTTGGCTCTGCCAGGTGGGAGCAGTCGTTAAGCTGGGCGTTGGCAGAAGGATAAATCTCTGTTGTCCTTTTTGGCTATCAGGCAGGAGCTTGCCCAGTTCTACAGATGAGCAGTTTGCTTCTGACAAGCCAAAAATTGCCAGGGGTTTATTTAGACTTCTGCTCATCATTTCCCCATATGTGTGTTCAGATCACTCAGCTACCCTTTCCGCGGAGATCCAGGGCTCCAGGTGTCTCCTCTGCCCACTCTTTCTGGCTTCTTTGTTGCCAAGGTAACAAGTTTTGCTTCAGTCAATATAGGCATCTTTTACAGCAAGTCAACCATGCCAGTTTTTAAGTCTTCTGCTTGAAATTTTTTAAACTATAAATGTGCCCGTTGCAATTACAGAGGAATTGACAGCAACATAGCCAACTGAGATAGTTAGTTTATTGTGCCAGCCTGGCCGATAAACACATGTGGGATTAGTTGAAGGGCAGAGAGATAAATGGCTCGGTGGGCCTCACCTTTCTTGTCTCTCACTCTTTCATCATCAGACCAGTGTGCGGCTGCCTTGCTTGTTCTGTGCCTCAATCTGCAAACTACACTACCTGTGGGACACCTAACCTGTGGAGTGTGTCGCTGTAATTTGAGGTTCCTTTAAGACCTGGGCTTTGCCACACAATTGGAATTTACATCCCTTGAGCTGGGGACTGACTGTTGGTGACCTGCCTTGCTGTTTGCTGCCTGTGCTGGGATAGCCTGAATCTCTCTATAGAAGACTACCTGGCGGCCCTCAAGACTTGAAGGACTGCCAGTGTCTCACAACTCTCTTATGGGAGTGAGTTGCGCTGAGCCATTTGTACTGCTTTAGAATTTAACTGTTCATTTCTTATATTATACATCTATCTATC